AAAGCATTTCATTGTGACCATGAAAAATTACAAAAACAGAATTTTTGAACTGCAAGGGACCTTGGATCATCTAGTCTTCCTTTCATGCTCTTAACATTTGTAAGGTAAATAAAATGTTTTTTAAAAAATCAACTTTCATATTATTTTTAGGAAAGAGACATAGGTATTTCCCACAGCTGTGGATCTCTAACAGTGAAGAAGTTTGATACTTCCATTTCATTCTCTCCAGTCAATTTAGAAATTATTAAGAAGCAATTAAATACTAGGTGAGTAATATTCATTTTGAAATTTATATTTGTCCTAGGCATTTAATAGTGAAAAAATAGCACTACATTCTTTTAAATTATTAAATGTTAATCTTAAACAGATTTATATATACATACACACACACACACACATTATCATACAACTGATTTTATTTTTGTGTACAGTTGTCCTCCCTTATCCACACTTTCACTGGTTTCAGTTACCCATGGTCAAACTGTGGTCCAAACATATTACGTGGAAAACTCCAGTAATAAACAATTCATCTGTTTTAAATTGCACGCTTTTCTGAGTAGTGTGGTAAAATCTCGAGATGTCTCTCTCCATCCCACCCAGGACAGGAATCACCCCTTTGACCAACATCTCCACGCTCTAGGCTACCCACCTGTTAGTCACTTGGTAGCCTTTTTCGTTATCAGATTGACTGTCGCAGTATCACCGTGCTTGTGTTCAGGTGACCCTTATTTTATGTAATAACGGCCCCAAAGTGCAAGAGTACTGTGCCTAATTTATAAATTAAACTTCATCATAGGTATGTATGTCAAGGAAAAAGCAGAGTATATATAGGGTTTGTAACTATTCACAGTTTTAGGGATTCACTGGGAGTCTTGGAACATATCCCTGTGGATAAGAGGGGCCTATTGTATGTCTTACGTCTTTATAACAGATGTATGCTACGTGGTTAAAATCAGTAAATATAAAATTCTACTTCTTTTACTTAATATAATTATAAGCATTTTTCTACATTATAAAAACTATCATGTTTGTTCATATAGTTGTTATAATTTACTTAAGTATTTCTCTATTGGATATTTGGATTTCTAAATTTTCCCTATTATAGATAATGGTGCTGATAATGAACATATTTTAATTTGTTGCAGTTTTTTTTCTTAAGGTAAATTTCCAGGCAAAGGTCATATTATTATAGCTCTTGGTACAGATTGCCCCTCTAAAGCACAGCTATCTTTTGTTCTACCAGTATTAATATTAAATACTTATCTCTTATATAGTTAGTATTAATTTTAATATAAGTGGTAGTTTCGCTAAAACTAAGTCAAACCTCATCATTAGCAGTTTTGTTTTAAATATTTGTATTTTTTAATTGTACTACTCAGGATCTAGTGTGTACCTCTAGATGTATGAAAGAACAAGTATGATGGTAAAAATTTTATTAGTCCTTATAACAGTTTGACACAAGGAAAGAGTTTGATTCTCCTGCCAAAGCAGGTATTTTTAAAGAACATTTTTATTGCTTTTTAAGATGTATTTTTTATTACCTGAGAATAGGTTCAAAATTTTTTTCCCCATTATCTTTCCTATGAATCAACTTTAAAGTGGCTTCATTCCTTAATCACACTGTAACTAAAATATACTGGCCATTTAAATGAGAATTTGACATAGAAAGGACATTTTGTAGCATTGTATAACAAATTAAATATTTGAAAATCTTTCGATGTACCAGTTTTTAGATACTGAGTTATCTCTGTATTCTAGAGGGTTAGCAAACAACAAGCCCACACTCTGTTTTGGTAAATAAATTTTCACTGGACCACAGCCATGCTTTGATGTTTACATCTTATCTATGGCTGTTTCATGCTACAACACAGAACTGAGTAGTTGTATCAGCAATCATCTTGTCCTGAAAGCCTAAAATATTTACT